CTGAGTCAATTAAAATCAGTAAAGGGGTGCGCCAGGATTGTATCTTTTCACCATACTTAATTAATTTGTATTCTAGTATGGCATTAGGATTGGAGGAAGACTCAGTCACAGCCTGAAATATGCATATTATGCAACCTTGCTTGCTGAAAGTGAAGAGTACTTAAAATAATTACTGATGAAGATCAAAACTACATGCAGTCTTTACTATGGATTGCACCTCAATGTAAAGAAAACAAAAATCCTCACAATTGGATCAATAAACAATATCATGATAAATGGAAAAATGATGCAAGTTATCCAAGACTTCATTTTGTTTGGATCCACTATCAATCCTCCTGAAAGCAGCCATCAAGAGATCAAAGGATGTATTGCATTATGCAAACCTGCTGTTAAAGAGTAAAGTGTTAACTCTGAGGACTAAGGTGCACTTGACCTAAATCATGGTATTTTTATGTGCCTCAGTGGGCTCAAGCATGGCAACAATAGTGAGGTTTTCCCATGATCAGGCAGTGTTTCGTTTTGTTGTGCATAAGGTCGCTATGAATCTGTACCTACTCGAAGGCACCTAACTACAACAACAATGTATGCTTGTGAAAGTTGGACAATGAGTAAGTAGAGGAATCAATGCATTTGAATTATAGTGGTGGTAAAGTATAGTGAAAATACAAGCAAATCTGTCTTGGAGAAATACAGATAAAAGTGAAGATGGCAAGACTTATCTCTCGTAATGTGGACGTGTTGTCAGGAGGGACCAATCCCTAGAGAAGGACATCATGTTTGGTAAAGCAAAGAGTCAGTGATAAAGAGGAAATCCCGCAATGAGATGGACAGACACAGTGGCAGTAGCAGTGGGCTCAAACATTGCAATAGTTGTGAGGATGACGCAGGAATGGACAGTGTTTTATTCTGTTATTTATAGGATTGCTGAGTGAAACCAACCTGATGGCACCTAACAATAATAAAATTCTGTTAATGACACTTGGGTTGTGGTAAAACCTCCCCTGCTCCATGTCAACCAAAAAGCAACATTTCCATATGACAGTGAGAGATTCCATTTTCCAGAATGCAAAGTAAATGTGTGATGTTGTTGTTGTTGTTATGTGCCGTGGAGTCGGTTCCGACTCATAGCGACCCTGTACAGGGTTTCCGAGGCTGTAAATCTTTACGGGACCAGAAAGTCTCATCTTTCTCCTGCGGAACAGCTGGTAGCTTTGAACTGCTGACCTTAGGGTTCGCAGCCCGATTCGTGTGTGATAGGGCAAGTTCAAAAGCAATGACAGGGAGAAAGGACAAAGGAAAGCACAGTATGGGGATCAAATAGGTAGGGGCACCAGATGGTGGGTATGGGATCAGGAAGGTGAATGTAGAGCACATTGTGAAGCTATAAACTGGGTAAAATTGGGAACACAAGAACAAAAAAATGACCAAGGAAAGAAAAAGAAAGGATAGAAATGGAGGTTAAGTTTAAACAGTACTGCTGGACTTTCAGTGCTTATCTTCCCACCAACTTAGCTCACCATCTTTCTATAAAATAGTGTCTTATAGCTAGAATAGATACTTTGTCAAGTTTTTGTCGATTGAAGCTAGCCTACCAAAACTATCACTGTCCTTTTTAAAAAACTTGAATCTCTATAATATATTGGCAAGGAAAACTAATTTAAAACAAGTCATTAATTTATCAGCTTCCAAACACATGTTATTTGTGTGACGTCACATGAAATTGACATATGAAATGACATCATGTACCATAACATAAAACAACATTGCTCTGCAAACACTTGAGAAATGAAAAGCAAATGTTTGCCTTGGGTCCCATTGGCCCTATCAGATCCGCTGGCACATCCTTCTCTGTCTTTACTCTTAATCCTTCTCTTAGATATTCAGAGCAGTTACTTATATGATCTTCTCATATTCTTGACCTGTTCTGGTGTTGACTGGAAATTGCTCTTTTTATTACAGTTCTTTCATAATTTAGGCTAGTTTCTCCAAATGATTTCCTCATTTCCTGGTTTTTTTCAGGCCTCCTTGAAAACAGATAAAATATCTTTGCATGTAGAATAAATCAGTACTAATCTTTCTTTTTTATAAAAAGCAAACCAATATGCAGTTTTCTATAAAAATCTTTGCCATGTCTTAATGTCTATAACTTTACCTGGGCCTCATAAGACCTCATAAATATGAACTAATGGCATTTTGAGGTGATGAATTAACTAGAACCTCTTAAATTTCTCAAGTAAGTAATGGGTTTTCCAATATATTTCTTATCCAAGCTTAGATTTTGGTGCAGGGATCAAAATTTAGAAAGCTAGTATTTCTAGAAAACATGTAGAGACTATGTATAAATATTAACTTTATCAATACTTTGTTCCTGATGGTAATAAATATATTATCTGTTTGACAATTTCATTTGTTTGTCCTTAGTAAATGCATGAATGTTGATTGCTAATCCTTTTCTTTAAAACCATGAGTAACATTTAGAATACTAATCTGTTTTGAAATCCTTTGCATGAGTTAAATAGAAACATGAATAATGAAGTAGGATTAATTTTATATGTTGTGATTTATACTGCTGCTTTTTAGTTTTTGTTTTTCTTCATATGTGTTGTGAAGTTAGGTCAGCTCTGTTTATGAAATTAGTTCAATTTCGTCACCTCTTATGCTAAGACCATAAGCAACATAGGTTACAAAATAGGGATGCTTCCAAAGTTCAGAATTGGTCAGTGTTGTATTTTCTGTATTTTTATAATAATATATATTTTTTAATCTTAAGTGTTATGTTGTATTTTCTATATTATTTTTTATAATATTAAAAAAACATAAGTGCTATAAATAACTTAAAGTACCAAAAGTATTATATTCCCCATGAGGTTTCACACAAACTTTTTTTTTTTTTAAAGTTGATTTCCCTTAAATGCATCTCTGCTAAAGACCCTCCCTTATCTGGCAGGTGTCCCTTCCAGGTATATTGCAGGGGCCCCAAGTTTCCCACTGAATCCTCTCTTGGTTTGTGACCTTGCTTTTGTCTCTCACTCATCCGCAGAGCCCGGCGTTTGCACAGTTTTCGGAGATCCCCACTACAACACTTTTGACGGACGGACATTTAACTTTCAGGGAACGTGTCAGTACGTTTTGACAAAAGACTGCTCCTCCCCTGCCTCGCCCTTTCAGGTGCTTGTGAAGAACGATGCCCGCAGGACCCGTTCCTTCTCCTGGACCAAATCCGTGGACCTGGTGATAGGCAAGAGCACCGTGAGCCTCCAGCAGCACCTCACTGTGCGCTGGAATGGGACTCGCATTGCGCTGCCCTGCAGGGCACCGCACTTTCAGATCGACCTGGATGGCTACCTTCTGAAAGTGACAACCAAAGCAGGTGGGACTTCCGGAAACACAGGGCTTCTCTTGCACTTCTTCTCCACCTCAGCCAACTATACAGCAGCAGCACCCCTGCTATAATGCCCAAGAGGTGTGGCTCCTCATCTGCCATGTTGGAAACCCCCTGACCCAAGAAGTGTTCCTGCTACTGGCATTACCTCATCCCGCCTCAGGAGGGATGGGGAGATGCCCGAGATGCTACAAAAATAGCTGGAGAAATTCGCACAACATGGAGCCTTGCAAAATTGGACCCGGTCTTACTACCAGGACATTCACTGCCTTTTCATCCCCATTTTAAAAATAGCAGTGGTACACTCTCCAAGTAACCTCTGTCACTCCTGTTTTGTTACTATTTTAGGCCATGAATGTCCAGCTTGGAATTTTCAGTCTGTTGCACATCTGTGAAAAAGAAAATTTCCGTATTAGCATCTGTCCAAAAAGGGGAGAAGTCCTCAAAAGTGAACAGCTATCACTAACAGTGTTCAGAAGCAACATCAATGCCCACAACAAAAGAGCTTGATCTCGCACACTATAGGATAAGGATAGTAACCTTATCTAATACTTCCTTGTTCCACGTATGGGTGGATGGGGCTGCCATGTGAGGAGTGTGGGTGGTAGGATCATGTGTGACCAGCTGTCCTCCCCGCCCGGACACTGGGGAAATTTCTCGCTGAGTGTACAGCTAGAACCACTGGCTTCTGTAGAAGTTACTTAGGATGCTGGCCATGGAGTCTATGGATCTGGCTGCTGAGATCTCCCTCAGCATCTCATGTTGCCTGAGGCCTAAACAGATACCTTCCTTGTAGCCCAGTTTATTCGGGGCTCATAATAGATTGCCCTTAGTAGTCCAGTGAGGCTCACGCTTTCCTTGTGAGGCTACTTATGAGAAACATTTTCAAAGCATAACTCACTTCTTCATATATCTGCCCGAAGAATTGACTCAGCTGGTTTACACATCTTGCTGTGCTATGTGTGGTTTCTTCCACGCTGCCTTGGTGATGGTTGTTAAGTGTTGTTGAGTCTGTTCTGAACCTGTATAGGATTTTTCCAACACTGTAAATCTTTTCATGAGTGTAAAGCCTCATCTTTCTCATACAAAGCAGCTGATGGGCTCAAACCGCTAACCTTGTGATTAGCAGTCCAGTGCTTATCCTACAGAGCTGCTTTTAGTGAACACACATTATTAGTCAATAGAATATTGATCTGTATATCCTCTTGACATATGCTATTTCTTTGAACATGATGCTTATAAGAAATCATGGCATCGCTTGGTTTTTAACATGATGATAATGTTGTTGTTGTTGTTGTTAAGTGCCATCGAGTCGGGTCCGACCCGTAGCGACCCTGTACAGGGTTTCCGAGGGTGTAAATCTTTACGGGAGTAGAAAGCCTCATCTTTCTCCCGCGGAGCGACTGGTAGTTTCGAACCACTGACCTTAAGGTTCGCAGCCCGATTCGTAACCACTACGCTACCAGAGCTCCTTTGATTATTGATGATAATGTAATGGTGTGAAAATATGACTTGGGTTCAAATTTCTGTGGATAATGTGGATTCAGAAGATAAATGTGCGACAGATCAGACAGTTTAAAACACTTTTTATTGGAAATTGAGTCCAAGTTTTCAGAGCAGATCGTCAGTTTTGCATTCAACAGATCATCCAAGTCATACTTCATGTCAATGATTGCAGTCCCATCCGTGGAACACCACTTATCCCACTTCCTCCATATGCTTCTTGTTTCCATTCCTCCTTTCCCAGCCCTTCTGAATTCTGTCTGGAGGTAAACATTGGCTTTGAATGGTTGACCATTTTATGGAGTTCTGGTGAGGCACTGGGGCTAATGAGTCAGATTGCAAAGTCATTTGAACTGCAAGGTCAATGGTTCAAGCTCACCAGCTGCTCCTTGAAAACTTATACAGGGTTACTATGGGTCAGAATCAACTCGAAGGCAGTTAATAACAACAACAGTACCTCACTAGGGACTTCTGGTGTGGTGCTGTAGGGTAAGAACTGGACTTCTAACCAAAAAGGCCGGCAGCTCAGACCCACCACTTGCTCCTTGGAAACCCTATACAGGGTCACTGTGAGGTGGAAGTGATTCAACAGTGCTTAACAACACACCTCATTAGTGTTTTGCCCCCACACACACCTCCCACCCCCATATACTTATCTCCTGTTTGATTGAAAATTGAACCACCAGAGTTAGCTCAGTTCCAGACTTGGCATTTTTGAGGGACGTTAGAGAAATAAACAAATGGCAACCTGCTGGCACCATGAAGCACATGGCTGCTAATCACAAGATCGATAGTTTGAACACACCAGTTGCTCCACAGAAGAAAGATGTAGCTGTCTGCTTTCTTCAAGGTTTACAGCCTCAGAAATCCTATGGGGCTGTTTCATTCCTGTGAGTGGGAAGTCAGTGGGTTGGGTTTAGATAAAGAAATAAAAGAGTCTCTGGGTTGTTAACTGAAAAGTTGGTGGTTCATGTCTACCCAGAGGCACTGTGAGGGAAAGACCTGGCTGTCTACTTGCTAAAAAATCAATTCGTTCTACTCTGACATACACAGGGTCACCATGAATTGGAATTGACTCAATGGCACCTGGTTTTATAGAGACCTCCCCTTTGCTTTTAGTTGCACCTTCACAACCCCATTAATTGTTTCAATTCAAGGAAATAAGTATTTTGATAAGTTCATTTGAACCTATGGAATGCCAGTGTAGCTAAACAAAGGCAGGAAGCCAAGGAGGAGCCCAGAGAGGTTCTAGTCGAAACCGACTCGACGGCACTTAACAACAACAACCTTTAAAGTGGCAGAGGTGAAGAGCTCAACTCATTTAACTTTAGTAGGATTAGTCCCACACAGAAAATTCAGACAACTGTTCTTGTATCCTAAAGACACCAGACTGTGCTGCCCATGTAGACCCGAGCCCATTCCTAACTGAAAGGAGGCTGCTCTTGTGGCTCCCTGTAAAATGTGCACAAGTTTACACATTATTGCACTGTACTGATTAGAATAACCGTGTCTGTCTGTGTGCAAGTCAGCAGAACACAATGGATTCTACTGATACGGAGATTCATAGTCAACCACGGCTCAGTTCTCAAAGGGGTCCTGGATACTTGAAAATTGCTAACAGCTTAGGAAGGTCAATACTGGTTCACTCACCGTTGGCAAAGCTTGATGGAATAAGTGTACTCTCTGAGGATCCCACACTGTAAAAAGGAGCAAAAGAACTCGACTGCTATGAAAATAAGGAGAGATCATAAATACCAGAGTCAGATTCATGAATTAAACTATTTTAGACCTTAAACTTCAGTTTTACACTTTCTTCCATTTTTCCACTTCTCTTATGCAAGTTAATTATGCAAGTAATTTATGTGGCTCTCTTAATACCCATCTGAACAATTTCCTGTAGTATGAAGATCATATAAGCTTTCTGCTTCCTCGGGAAGAAACATATTCCTCTGTGCATAATACTTGCTTTATGATCATCCTTTGAATGAAAGAATCCCATTCCTAGAGATCCTGTTTTCCACCCCAGTGGACCAATCTGTTTGTATTATCCCTTAGGGATATTTTCTTTCTTTCTTTTTAAATCACCTGTTGATTGTCTATTTAAAACTTCATAGTATTTCCTTTGAGTATTCTTTCTTCGCTTTTTCATTTCATAAGCTCATATGATCAAAAGATAGTTTCTTCAAAATAGCAGCTTCCATTAAGTCTCCATATGGAGAATGGGAAACTGGGTAAAGGGAGGCGGGGGAAGGGAGCAGTGTGGAGTGACTCTTTGCCCCTGTAGTTTTTGGAGTCAGCACTTCAGGGTGAAATCATTTGGCAGAGGAATACAGGTGGTCCTGTAGTAGGCAGGGTGGGTTTAGACTGTTGCTGTTTACCTAATAATAGCCGGGGTAGACAGTGACATGGGGAAGTATTCCCCAGCATTGCCTCCCAACACTTGGTGCTTAGAAAATAACTTAAAAATATTTTGTTTCTGTCATCTGTCTGCTTTATTATCTCTACCTGAAAGCTTAAACATGCGAGAATATGTTTTTAAATTTTATTTTTGGTAGGGTCCTTCACTTGATAAAACTGGAGAATATATTCCTCTTTTGTGATTTTTTGGGTGTATGTAAAACACCTGAACAGGAAAATCATCTTTTTTTTTGCAAATGGCTAAAGCATTTGTCAAATCCATCTACATCTAGAGGCATCTTGGAAGAAAGACCTGTCAATCTGCTTTCAAAAGGTCACAGCCATGGAAAATGCTCTCTTGAGCACAGTTCTACTCTGAAACATGCCATGAATTGGAATCAACTCGACAGCAACTGGGTTTGGCTTCGTTCTTCTTTTTAACGGGACATCTACAGAGTTTGCACCTTCCCTTGCCTTTCAGTGGACAATGGGAATGACAACGACAATCAAGAAAGAAAACAAAACACAAACAATAAACCACCACCACAAAACACACACACACACACACATACACACACATAAGACCCTACCAAAATAAAAACTGTAAGTCTGGAGCAAGGGCAGAGACTTGAAGGGTGAAGAACACATTGGTAAAACATTCATTGGTGAGAAGGAAAAATCAGAAGGCCTTTCATTACAGTGGAAGGAATGTGGTTGCTACTCATATCCCCAGATGGGACACATGCTTTAGCCTTCCGTCTCTGCCAGTTATTTCTACCAAATTTCCCAGGCACAGACTTAGGAAACTCATCCCAGCTGCAGAAAGAACTCCTCCGGTCCCTCAAACATTTCCACGATGTTCTCATCTTATAAGATGCCTATTTAAATATCGTTTGCAAGAGCAATTCCCTCAATTACAGCTTATTACTATTATTATTACTTTTGCCTTGCACTACTGTAATCTGATTTGCATAGATTTTACCCTTGTAGAGGGCAAAAAATATTCACACAAACACATATGTAAATGATAACAGCCACAAGCAAAGACATCTCTCCACAATGTAAAGTCTGGGATTGCTCAACGAAAATCCTCTTAATACAATAATAACAGCGAGAAGAAGGAAGAAAGGAGTGTGTCTTACAAATTATGCTCTTGTTTTAGAGGCAAATTTGATGAGAGAGGTATCAAGGGGTTTGAGAGGAATTTGTTAAAAGGCAGTGCAAGTGCATCTTTTCAATCATGGGCTAATAGCTCTCTATGAATAAAGAACACTGAGATAGCTTTGTTTACTATGAGTTGAGTTCCCATAAACTCAGTTATCCACAGTCTCAAACTCATTAGATCATAGTCAGAAATGATGTTGGAGCACCTCTAGGTGTAAATTTTTCAACCATCTGTGGTACTTAGAACAGTATTTGACTGCTGTCTAGGAAAGAGATTTGCAGTTTGGAAAATTTAGCAACATAAAAAAGAAAAAGAAAACCTTTGGAACTATGCCCTAAAAGTTTGAGTGTTGTATGGAATTGATTTTCTCCCCCTTGTTTTTCTTGCTGGGCAGCTGTCTGGCTGCAGACCTGTGAGGTAAATTTTGTTCTCTGCCCTAGAGAATTTATTACAAATCATCTTATCATTTGCTTGTCTTTTTTTCAAAATGATTATTTCAATTTCTTAACCACCAGGAGACTCACAGTTCCTTTGCCTTTGTAGAATTGATATATCAGTCTTATCAAGGGTAATTTAATCCTGTATTGAGCACATACTAGATGCCATACAGTTTGTTAGATGACTGGGTGTTAATAATTATTTGATATAATGGTTGTAGTTGTCAGAGTTGACGCCATCTTGTAACAGAGATTTATGTTCAGCCTAGCATGTAGTTCTTCCATCTGTGTGCCTTCTCTGATCAGCTGGTTCTATCATTATCACCTCTTCACAGTTAGTAGCAGGAGAGGAGTTCTTACAACCTTCCTTCTTGCTTCCTCATCCAACTCTATTTTTTTCTGCTTCTCTGAACCCAGCCTCTACTCTTGAACAAGAAGGCTTTTCTAACATTTGCCCTGGTCTACAAGTTTTTTTGTTACTTTTGTTTACCATACTGTGGTTTCCATATGGGACTTTCCATTTTATTTATTTATTTATTTTGAGAATCTTGTTTTAAAACCAGTGGTTTATACAGCCAATCACTCTTCCTGAACAGGGTCTATAACTCTTGGGACAGATGTGTGGCCTACTCATAGCAATGCTATTTGGCCAAATCTCTCTTCACTTGGACCATGCCCAAATTTAGGGAGTATTGGTTTACAATCTTTTGGAGCCTTCTTATTGATCTACCTCACGCTGACATTGCCTTATGCCAATTTCATATCCAGACATGATCTCTCTTTCTCTTCCCTTCACTACCTCATCTTTCCATCCCTTTGAGCACCCTCTGAACATCTGCTCATCAGCCTGATCTTCATCTTTCAGGAACAAAGACAAGATTTTTTCAGGAGGAAAGTCATGCTCATTCCAGAAGCTCAGAATGGGCCAAGCATGAGACTACTTTTTGTCAGTAACCCATTTGGGTAAGGTTAAAAAATACACATATGGTAAGCAGAGACTGTTCTATTAGAGAGAGGCGTCTTCTGTGGGCTGCCACTCTTAGGAGACAATGACAGTATGCGAAGTGAAGTCTTAGGGCTGATTTTCTTCTGGAGCTTGTCATAATCGTAGGAAAATTTTTATATTTAAAAAAAATCACACTGAAATGCTATAAATTTTGTTATCTTTCCATTTCACCAATATGGTAGTGATTAAATAAATGAAGACATGATTTGGACCAATGCAATTACTAAAAGAAGGGGCAAAAATATAAACATGACCAAGGGGTTGTTGTTGTTTTTAAGTGCCATTGAGTCAGTTTTGACTCATAGCAACCCTGTATAGGGTTTCCGAGGATCAGCTGGTGAGCTTGAACCACCCACCTTGCAGTTCAAAATGCTTTGCAGTCTGGTACATTAACCCACAGCACCATACAGCACCACACCAGGAGGTAACCATACATATATAGACTTCTTGTTAAGTGCTGTCGCATCAGTTCCAACTCATAACGACCCTGTATAGACTTTCTGAGGTGGATCTGGTATACATATATGTGTGTGTGTGTGTATATATGCTATATTGTGGTACATAAGACACTGTTAGAAGGGCAAACTATTCTGAATCCCAGCAAGTGAGTTGTTCATGGAACATCACATAACAATAAACGTAGCCAGATTGAAAGCGGTCAAGAATTTGGACAGACCTTTGGTGTTTCCTCTTGGAGGATGACCACGTATGCTGTGTATAGGTTGTGTGAATTTGGGAATTCTTGGTGAATTCAGAAGTAGCTGATCCCCTGGCTCTCTGTCTCATCTAGGTTTGGAAATATCCTGGGATGGAGACAGTTTTGTAGAAGTTATGGCTGCCCCGCATCTCAAGGGAAAGCTCTGTGGCCTTTGTGGCAACTACAATGGGCATAAACGTGATGACCTAATTGGTGGAGATGGAAACTTCAAGTTTGATGTGGATGATTTTGCTGAGTCCTGGAGAGTGGAGTCCAATGAGTTCTGCAACAGACCTCAGAGAAAACCCGTGCCTGAACTGTGTGAAGGGACAGTGAAGGTAAAGCTCCGAGCCCATCGAGAATGTCAGAAGCTCAAATCCTGGGAATTCCAGACCTGCCACTCAACTGTGGACTATGCCACTTTCTACCGGTAAGGAGAGTGTTCTCGGGGATGCGTTTGGATTGTAGCTAAAGCATAGACTTGATGTTAGAACAGAGGATATCAAATAATTCGGTGGGCAAAACAAAGACTGCCAAAGCAGAGAATAAACACCCACATTCTTTCTGTTAAACAGCTGATTTTGTCTTGATTTAATCCTACATTATGTCCCAAATTAAGAAAGTCCAAGAACTATTTCAGAGGGACCACCTAAAGGTGATTTATATGTTCTTATTTGCCCTTGGGAAGGTGGTATCACCCCAGGAACTTTTCAGGGATTCGTTTGACTCTAAGATCAAGGAGGGCTTTCCCAAATCTGGCAAAGGCTCACAATGGCTTAGGATATTGGTAATTTTCTAAAATGAGTTCTGAAATGACTCTGGCTGACTTTGGACTCTTAAGTGAGACAGTCTTTCTAAGACTGAGAAGAATCCAGGTCTGCATCAGGGTGTGGTCCAAACTAAATCTGCGTATGGAAAACGAGGAAACAAAGGAAGGAATTCTGGGATCTTGGCCTAGGAAGAGATTCATGTTCAGAATCAGAGGAGAGTAAAAACAGGGCCCTAAGGACAGAAGAAGGAGAGTCACACATTCCTAGTGGGAATTCCATGACCTTTTCTAAATCTGATGATCCTTTTTTGGCATAAAGCAGCTCATTCCAAAGGAGACTTGGGTTTGACTTTCACGCTGCATGTTGGCATTTGTGACTTGATGAGTCTGACCTGGTTCTACTCCCGTTTACTACACAGTTCCATGGGTTCAAGAGCTATGACTGTTTATAACTTTAACCACCCTGGGCATGGGGGAAGCTTGAGATGAACACAGCCTTGTTTAAGTGATTTGCCTGTGTCTCTTAAAATTAGAAAACTCCTGTGGTCTCAAACCGCAGAGAGGTTATTTTTACTCTTTAATTGCCACCAGTTTATTTCCTTTAGTTCTCATTAAAGGGGATAGATTTTTTTTTATTTGATCTTTGGACATAAAAGATAAAATTCTATAAAGGCAGCTCAAAGTGGGCTGGAGAAAAGACGGTCCCTGTCATCACAAATGAACATGGCTGCATCTGCCAAACCATTTGGCTCTGAGTCCTACGTGTATCTCTTTCAAGACATTTTCCTGTGATAGTCTGAACTCTCTGGGTTCCCTTTCCTCTCCTTTGTGAACCACCCTCTACACCATCTCCACCCCTCCATCATCTACTGAAATGGAGAGATTTCATGTAAGATTTGGGAATGAATTAAGCAGCTGTGCAGACAAAACAGGCTCCATGTGAAATCTGAATGCCCATCACTTGAAGGTCTAACGGGAAGCAGTGGTGGTTGGTTGGATGCCGTTGAGTCCATTTCAAATCATAGCGACCCTGGATAGGGTTTCCAAGGTTGCATATCTTTATGGGAGAAGAAAGCCTCATCTATCTTTTCAGAGCAGCTGGGAGATTCAAACTGCTGACCTTGAGGTTAACAGCCCAACTCATAACCATTACGCTACTGGGTTTCCTTGAGGGGAAGCAGTCGAGTACAACAATGGAGAGCTCTGTGGTCTCCAAGGGCTAAAAGTCTAGCCCATTTGTGTGATCTTGGACAATTACCTAATTTTTTTAAACCTCAGTTTGCTTGTCTGTGAAGTGGGGATATTCATAATACTAACAAACTTACCTTGAAGAGTTTTCATTTAGATTTAGTGAGATAATGAATATAAATAAGGAGCTCTGGTAGCATAGTGGTTAGGATTCAGGCTGTGAATCTTAAGGTCAGCAGTTCGAAACTACCAGCTGTTCTGCAGGAGAAAGATGAGGTTTTTTGCTCCTGTAAAGATTTACAGCCTTGGAAACCCTGTGCAGGGTCGCTATGTGTCGGAACTGACTCCACGGCGCATAATTACCAGCACCACCACGAACATAAATGCATGTGCCCAGGACTCCTGGTGTGCCGTTGTAGGATCAGTACTGGATTGGGAACCACAAGGTTGGTGATTCAAAGCCACCAGGTGCTACTTGGAAACCCTACACAAGGCCACTATGTCAGACCGACTCTACAGCACTCAACAACCAGAAGCACCATACTGTACATCATTAATCCTATGTCATTGTTGGCTGCTATCATTTCTTCCTGGTGTGGCACTGTATAAAGAGCCCTGGACTGCCAACCCCAAGGTCAGTGGTTCAGACCCACCAGGCACTCCTTAGAAACCCTATATTGGGTCACTGTGAGTTAGAATCCACTTGACGATACTTAACAACTACCATCATTTCTTCTAAGGAGCCCTGGTGGCTTGGAGGGTTGAACATTAGTCTGCTAACCACAAGGTTGACAGTTCAAAATCACCAGGTGCTCTGCAGGAGAAAGCTGAGGTTGTCTGCGCCTATAGAGATTTAGTCTTGGAAACCCTATATGGGATCGCTATGAGTTGGAATCAATACCATGGCAGTGGGCATCATTTCACAAATGGTTAACACACTTGACTGTTAACCAAAAAGGTTGGCCGTTTGAACCTACTCAGAAGCAGAGATACTTTGGAAGAAAGGCTTGGCAGTCAATTTCTCAAAAAAATTAGCCACTGAAAACCCTATGGAACACAGTTCTGCTCTGATATACACAGGGTTACCGTGAATTGTAGTGGTTACGAATCGGGCTGCGAACCTTAAGGTCAGCGGTTCGAAACTACCAGTCGCTCCGCGGGAGAAAGATGAGGCTTTCTACTCCCGTAAAGATTTACACCCTCGGAAACCCTGTACAGGGTCTCTATGGGTCGGAATCGACTCAACGGCACTTAACAACAACAACAACAACCGTGAATTACAATTGACTCTACAGAAACTGTTATATTTTTTGGGAGGGAGAGGGTACCATTGATTCTACTATTAATTAATATACTAAGAAGAATAAGGTCTCTTTTAGAGATCCCCACCCTGGTTGTGGGTTTGGGTTGGAACCTTTCTCGGCCTAATAAAGGATGTGGAAGCTGTGCTTTTCCAGGGCGCTGGCAGCCTACACCTTTGGTTTTTATCCCATTTTCAAGCATGTGTTGAAAACTCAAGTTAGAGAGCAGACTTGCAGAGATTTGTCCTTTTTTGTCAATTCCTATTTCTTTTTCCTTCTGTGAAGTGTACGCAGGAATATGATGAACACCTTGGCAGAAGTCACAGGAAGTGACTTTGACATGCATGTGAAAGAGATTCCAAGTCCTTAAGTGGCCATGCAGAGCCTCCTTCTGCCGTAGCAGCTACAGCTGCTGCACAGAGATCAGCTTATGTGCCAAGGGACTTGAGGCACCCTGCTTTGATAGCTTATGAAAATGCTCTGGGAATCTTTGTGCACTGAGATGCACACAATGGATGAGGCAGAGTACCCTTCTATAGCCAACTTCCTTCCTGGAAAGAGCGGAGGAGTTCAGGGAAGGTTGCTGTGCTATATGATGCTGAGTTGATTTTGACTCTTAGTGACCCTACAGGACACAACAGAGCTGCCCCATTTAGTCTCCTAGTTTGATCATCAGGTTTTTTTTCTCCCGTGAAGCAGCTGGAAGGTTTAAACCACTGAACTGGGTTAGCAGCAGAGCACTGAACCACTGAGCCAGAGCTGGGCAATCCCATGTGCCATGCCATTACCCTTATCCCCTTTGTCCTCACATTTTACAGTGAAGGAGGTGGATGTTGGGCAAATCTTGATTTCTTTGTTTCCTTCCCCTGAAAGAAAATAAGTAAGATTCAACATGGGAAGGTAACTGTTTTCAGTGGAGTTCCAGGATAAGATCAAAACTCAGGGCTCCTAGGGAGCATGGTAGGTCTGTCGGATAAGCACAGGATTGTGAAACACCCAACCACCCAATTGGGAGTTCAAGCCCACCAACTGCTCTGCAAGGTAAAGATGAGACTTTCTGCTCCCGCAAAGATTTACAGCCTCAGAAACTGTCTACGGGGTTGCTGTGAGTTGGAACGGACTCGAGGGCATTTAATAACAACAGAGGATGAGCCGTGTGTAGAGCAAAACCAAGAAGGAACCGCTCCCACCTCCTAGCTCTTCCACCTCCTAGCTGTGTGACCCTGGGCAGCTAGCAGAGTCTCAGGTGGGCTTGATGATCACCAGCTGGCCAGACTGGTTCTTTGATGACCAGTGAGCTCAGCACTAGCACTGGTCGGCACAGTGTGTGCTGTGGTTTATGTCCCTTCGTTTCAGTCGGGAACCTTTCCCCGACTCAGCCACTTACCTTTCTCATTTGCTCATCTTCTCCCACACTCATGGTGGAGAATTGAGTCAATAGATTCTCATTGATGGGCCCTGGAATCAATTTTTAAATGAACCATTTCTTTTCACCGACACTGAATGAAGTCACATAAGAGAAGATTGCATGGCAGTTGTTTTTAAAATATTGGTTTGCTTTCTTCTTATAATACTAAAGTATGTTTATTGTACAGCATATGACTAACATTGAAAAGAATGAAGAAGAAAACAGCAATCGCATAATATCTTACCTGTGGAATTTAAAAGATTGTTAGGACGATGGCTGTGATGTGCTATTTATGAGTTATTTAAACACTGTGAAGCCTTCAGGGGTACCAGTGCTTAATGAGCTCAGCTGCTGACTACAAGGTTGGCCATCGAATACACCTAGCAGCAATGAGAAAGAAAGTCCTGGTCATCTACTTCCATAAAATTGAAGCCATTGAAAGCCCTGTGGAGCAGTTCAACTCTGAGACACGTAGAATTGGTTAAAGGGCTAGAGAGTTGCATTGGTATCATGGAAAATCAGATATATAAATTGTATTTGTACTTGATTTTTTGTTGTTTTTTTTCGCTTCTTAACCTCCCAAAAAATATACGCATATTTTCCTTTAAGGACAAAAAATACGGTAGCTTAACATGAAAATTTAGCCTTCCAAAGACCATTGTGATTGCAACACTGAGAAAGAAGGGATTTCTTTGAGGAAATGTTTTCCACTTTGAGTTTCCTTAATCATATGACAAAGAGACAGGGAAAATTATAGCTTAAAT